TAAATATTGTCAATATCAAATCAATTTGAGCGCGATTTTAAACCCGGATGATTGTAACCGCTCTAAGTTCGTCTGCCTTGGGAAAGCTAGCGTGTCTCCGACATAGTGATAACACTCATTGCCTTCTCTAGTGCAGCTCAGCCAGGTCTCGTCCCATTTGTCGGTATTTGTGATATCACAAATCCCGGAAAATATGCGTTGTAGTCCAAACGAGTCGTTCGTTGTAGTTTTTGAAAAGTGATTTCTGTTAAATAAAATATCTCCTTTTCAATTGGACTTTGAGCTTTGTAACTTTGCAGATGTTTTTTATGCTCAAACAGCAACATTACAGACTAACTAAAGTTGAAAAAGTGAAAAAGCATAATGGGACCCCTTTAATTTATCAGAATACAGAAAGTACACAAGGTTTTTAAATAATTTTGCTGCAGACTCTATTTAATAGGCTAATTATGTAATTATTTATAGTCATATTAATTTTTATGTAAATTAAGTATGTGATGGAATCAAATTTTCATTGTCGCTGAAGCTTTTGTCACATCGTTTTTATCACAATAGCCTATATAATTAAGTAAAAAAAAAAAAGTGTTGTCCTCTTAACAGGTTAAATAACTTTAATAAAGATCTTTTACTAAAGAAAGACTTTAAACAAATACACAAACATATAAAGTAATATCTGTAAATATCTATATGACTGTTTGAAACATTTACACTGTTCAGAAAGTAGCAGCTGCTTTGTTTACAAGGTTACCGGGGTAACGGCTGCATATCCGCCTCCGTCAGCTCCCTCTGGTGCCGAATGTGCATTGTCATTCAGCGCATCTCCTTGACTCGCTCCGCCTTTCTTCTCATCTGTGCTCATTTGAATTAAATTGTTGCCTTTTTAAAGTTAAATAATCATATGAGGCTGTATCGCTGTTTTTCCATAAATAAATTTAAATAAATGAATGAATAAATGTGGACATTTAACCGAGACTGCCTTGCTCTCAGTTGTTGAAGCCCTAAGACTGGCTAGAGCGTATTCCAAATCTTCAATACTTAACTTGCTGGATCTGTACGCTGCTTTTGACACAGTTAACCACCAGATCCTCCTGTCAACCCTATTGGCAAAGGGCATCTCAGGAACCGCACTCCAGTGGTTTGAGTCTTACCTCTCAGATAGGCCCTTCAAGGTATCTTGGAGAGGTGAGGTGTTAAAGTCGCAACATCTAACTACTGGGGTGCCTCAGGGCTCAGTTCTTGGACCACTTCTCTTCTCTGTCTACATGGCATCACTAGACTCTGTCATTCAGAAACATGGCTTTTCATATCACTGATCACTGCTATGCTGATGACACTACCTCTCATTCCATCCTGATGATCCGACAATAGCTGCTCGCATCTCAGCTTGTCTAAAATACATTTCTTGCTGGGTCCTGCAGATTTGCTTTATTCAACATCAAGAAGATCAGGCCCTTTCTTTCAGAACATGCTTCGCAACTCCTTGTTCAAGCTCTTTTTCTGTCCAGGCTGGACTATTGCAATGCTCAAAATATTAGCAGGATTTTCAGCCAGTTCGATCAAACCATTAAAATTAATCCAGAACGCGGCTGCAAGATTAATTTTTAATGAGCCGAAAAGAACACATGGCACACCTCTGTTTATCAATTTGCACTGGCTACCAATAGCAGCTCGCATAAAATTCAAGGCATTAATGTTTGCCTACAAAACCACCACTGACTCTGCACCTCTTTACCTAAATTCATTACTTCAGACTTATGTGCCCTCAAGAAGCTTGTGTTCTGAGAGTGAACGGCGCATTATTGTGCCATCCCAAAGAGGCACAAAATCACTTTCCCAGACTTTTACATTAAATGTTCCCTCCTGGTGGAATGACCTGCCCAACTAAATTCATTTTCAAGAATCAGCTATGAATGGAGGCTCTTCCATTTTTATTTGACCCTCCAACTCTAGCACTTTCTATTCTAATTCTGTTCTTAAAAAAAAAATCTGATACAGAAAATATGCAAATAAAAACTTTAACCTGGGGTTTAGGAATGTGCAGTGTGAAATTGATCACTTATGAATACCCAGGATTAACTTCTAACCCTGGGTAAAGTATAAGCAGTGTGAAAAGCAAAATAACCCAGAGTTGTTTACCCTGGGTTTAGAATGACCCAGGGTTAAGTGTTTCAAGTGTGAAATGCCCTTGTATGATAATTTGCCGTTTGAATGTAGTGACCAGTTGTTAAGCAACAAAAAAACATTAATAAACTGAACAGCACTTGCCAAATTAAATTTTCAAGTATTTCTTAAGGCTAATTGTTGATTAAACTGGTTGTGTGCTGTGTTTGTCCAATCAATGATGCTAGCTCAGCAAAAATGCAAGTAACCCATGGTTTACAAATGTGCATTGTGAAACTTAAAAACTAGATTTTTTAGGTTTAATTATTTACCCAGGATAATAATTGAACAACATTAAACATAAATAAAAAACAGGATTTTATTATCCCAGGATTAAGAATGACCAAGGGTTAAACGTAAATGCTGGAACCCAGAGACCCCATTTGGCTTGAATGTAAAGTCCAAACTCCACTAAGTTTATTAGGCTATATTTACACTGTCAACACTTCTAAATGGTATCTAGCACAGGCTAGACTTTGTTCAAATTTGTAAACTAGGGATGTCCCGAGCCGATCTCAAGGATTGGGATTAGGGCCGATCAAGCATTTTTTTAACTGATCGTTATCGGCTCTCCTCGGTCCGATCCTTATTTTATGTCAGCTATCATGCCGGTGTCGTGCAGTAGGTGGCAGTATTCGCCTTCCAGTAGATTTGCCAACCACCATTAAAAGGAAAAGACGACCCTCAAATGTGCATGTTCAGCAGTGTTGGGCAGTAACGCATTACTTAGTAACACGTTACTGTAATTTGATTACTTTTTTAGTAACGGAGTAATTTAATGCATTATAATTTATAAAATAGTAATTCGATTATAGGTACAAGCCAAGGTCTCTATACGTTACTGCTGTGTTACATCATTGCCGACAGAATGCAGTGATTTATCATCTGGTGGAGCACATGCAGCGCTCCCGCAGGACCCAACGCAACAGAGTGCGGCGCGGGAGTAGACTTGATGGGCGAGTATGGGCGGTTAGAGACTCGTGTGTGTGTGTGTGTGTGTGCGGGATGTGGGAGAATAAAATGATTCAAAAAATAAAAATATCTAAACATAAAATATCTAAAAACAAATAAATTGTTATTCATCTATTGCACAAATGCAACAAAAAACTAATGTAAAATAAGAACGATTAACAGGCGCAAGCATATGCAGAATTTCTTTTACTTTTATCTTTCCACTTCTGAGGAAACATAAGCTGCATCTGAAGTGGCATTAGATGCATTTGCACAGTTTGATGAAGCTGAGGTGTGATAAATGCATTTATACTGCAACATTTCAAATGCAAAACTAATTTTATTAGGTTAATGTTTTACATATTTTTTTAAACATACAAATAAATGTTGAAAAAATGCAATGATACTTTTAAATATGACTAAACCACCAGTAAGTGGCAGCAAATGTATGTTTTAATGAGCAAGTCATTTATTCATTCATTCAACCGATTCATTCAAACGGCTGATTCATTCAGAAACGAGGCAAGTGACTGTCCTTATGAATGGGCCACTGAATCATTGACTCACTCGATTCATTCAAAAACGTGGATTAATTCAGTAACGAAACAACGCTGTGTGTTGAGAATACTTTTTACGAGAATACTTTTTGTGCGCAAAGAAAACTAAAACAATGACTATTCACTTTGTTCACTTTTTATTCAAGACTTTTTATTCAAGTCTTCTCCCACGTGTTACCCTCTTCCGCCATTTTTGGAGAGTACCACGATGTATGCGCATGCTTTCCCCTACGATGAACAGAGTAATTAATGACAGCATTTCATTTTGGGGTGAACTATCCCTTTAATCTGCCGTCAGACTATCTGAGACGTCATTGCCATAACACGTTGCTATGGGTTGCATCGTGCTTCGAAAAGACACTGGTAAAAATTGCTACTGATGTAAACTTGTATTTTATGTATACAATAAGCAGAAAATTGCAACATAAAATAGCTAATAGTGGAGATATGGTTAGAAAGCATATCTCCACTATTAGCAATTTAAGTTGCAATTTTCTGCTTATTGTATATATAAAATACAAGAAGTTTACATCAGTAGTCCAATTTTCTACCAATGTCTTTATACAGTATTTGCAAATATATACATACCGTATTGGCCCGAATATAAGACGACCCTGATTATAAGACGACCCCCCTTTTTCCAGATGTACCTTTTAGAAAAAGGCTTTTTAAAAAAACAAATTTTGTCTTCAATTATTATCATATTGCATATTTGTCCTATTTTAATTTTTGTTTTGAAAGTATGGTAAAAACTGGTAAAATGTACCAACAAATCACATTTAAAAAATATACACTTTTTGATATACCAGGCACACTCGTTTTATACG